TCGCTACTGATTTCCACAATATGAGGTCATCCGCAAACACTACGCACTCGCAGTTCAGACAGTCCAGGCAGTCGTTCACACATATAAAGAACAGAACTGAACCAGAACGCTTCCCTGAGGAACGCCACAGTGAACGATTGCCCAGTCCGATTTAGCGGTACCGATACACATACGCTGAGATATGCTCGTAAGAAAATGGGCCAACCATATCAGCAGTTTCCAATTCCCGCCAATTCGACGTAGTTTGAATGTAAGTCGTCTGCGTGGAACATTATCAAAGCCTTTCTGAATTCAATGTACACTGCGTCGACTGATAAACCCATTTCGATTGATTCCGTTCAGCTCTCCGTGGACACTAGCAGGTTAGTAAAACAGGATCGACTTCTTCGAAATCCATGCTGATGCAAACTGAGCAAGTTGTTTTCTTCAAGATGCTGCATCAGCTCCGTTTTTATTGTCATTTCCATCCCTTTGCAACAGATGCTTTTGTGACTAACTGGTCTGGAACTATTTGGGGATGTTCTTTCGCCACCCTTATGCATGGGGCTTACGTTAGCTTGTTTTGTTAGGCAGACCCCCTGCCTCAATCGAAGTTTTGAAGATCTTGGATAACGGAGAAGCCAGATGGTCTAAGAGTTCATGCAGGACTTTTGCGGGTGCGCCGTCCGGACCAGGTGATTTAGTGGGCTGTAATTGACTCAAAGCTTTCCGTAACGTGTTAGTTGTAAAGGCTACCGTGCCAATTGTACTGCTTGATTTGACGATTGGGGGTAATTTTTTCACCCAATGCCGGCTCCTCGATATACACGGGCGTGAATAAATCGCATAACAGGATCGAATCGTCTGAAATGTTAAATAATTTTTTCCCTGGCCATCTTTTAGACAGGGAATGCGTCCCGGCAGCGTTTCGTCTTACTCACATACTCAAAGAACTTGTTGAAATTTCGCGGAATATTTTTGAATACTCTCGACTCAAATTCTGTTCGTTCTCTCCTCAACAGATTCCGACATATATGTATTTCTCTGTTTTTTTATAATCAGTAAAAGGCTCTGGCTTTTGACATCTGGCGTAATTTTTCCAAAGTTCCTTTTTTAAATCTAAGGCTCTTCTTTATTTCTGACGTCAGTCATTCTGATCGGGAAGTGTTTGGTCTCCTGCTAAGTGGACAAAGGCTCTCTACCAAGTAAACAGAACCCGTTAGGGATATTTGTGATATTTCTGAGCGGGCTAAGAGATCGTCTGATGAAAAACAGCTAGCCGAAGAGGTCCAGTTTACCGAAAACCATCCGGCAAATGTCTCGAAACTTTTCTCTGGAAAAATACGAACTCACGGAAAGACGCAGCATCCCATCCTCCGAGACGCCCTCGGAAATCCCATAGTTGATGTCCAGTTAACCGCTGATAACTTCAATGATTTCCTGTCCAAAATATTTATTGAAGACTTGATCACACCGCTCCCGATCATCCAGGTATTGACCGGGGCAGTTCTAGAAAATATAACATTCACTCTGTGGGATTTGACTGTCGCACTTCGGCGTTTTCATCAATCTTATAGTCTAGGACCTGATGGTGTCCCAGTAAGCATTTTAAAAGCCGATGCAAACACGATCTTCCCATCCCTCTTATGCAAGATATTTAATCTCGCTCTTGAAAGTGAAACTTATCCTACCTTGTAGAAGGAATCACACATTTTGCCCATTCCCAAGCACGGCAAATCTACGTCATTTGATGACTTTCGGCTAAGAAACACTCTCCCCACAGTTTCGAAAATCTTAGAGACATTGATCAAAGATAAGCTGATGTGTCACTTAACAGAGAATAACCTGCTGAGTACTGCTCAGCATGGATTCCTCAAAGCTCGATCTTTTGACACCTGTCAACTCTCTTTCTTTGACTATGTTCTCCAGTCTAGGGACAATGGTTTTGCACTTTACACTGTATATTTCGATTTCACTAAGGCTCTTCACCATGCTCTTCTTCTCTTGAAACTGCCCCCGGCTAGATCGCAGTTGGTAGCCCCGAATGGGAGGCGGACGGTGACCTTAACCCAAATCCCAACCGTAACTCTAACCCTAACCTCAACCGTTAACCGTTAACCCTACCGGCAACCCTAACCCTAGCCGAAATCGTAAACATAACCGTAGCCCTTAGACATAGCCGTAACTGAGAAGCCTAACCATAATACTTGAACCTATTCGTACGCTCAAACCCGAACCATAACCCGAAACCCGAAGCCTAAAGGCATGACCCTAACCGGAAAATCTGAAACCATTAACCGGTACCCTAATCCTAACCTTAAACGTAAAACGGAAGCCAAATGTGTCCGATGTGACTATGACGGCCCACAAAATAACCCCAGTAAACAACCCCCCAGTCACCTGTAATGCGGGCCGGGCTATCAACTGCGATCTATCCTTGTCCTCTTTCGGAATAGGTGGCAAACTTTTAAATTTTATATCCTCTTACCTGGGCTGTCGTACACAACGAGTTAAGATTTTGAATACCATCTCCAACCCCACACGTGTGAGGAGTGGAGTCATTCAGGATAGTGTACTCAACACACTTTTATTTTGCCCTTTCGTTAATGATGTACCCAATTTATTTCAGAATGGTAAGCCTTTCATGTATGCCGATGATCTTAAAGTTGCATATCAATACAAGCCAGCAGATCGTGACATCGTGCTTGAGATCCTAAAGATCGACCTACAGGCTTTTGCTCAATGGTGCCGCACATGGCTCCTTTCTCTTTCTTGGCATAAGTGCTCAGTCATGGTGGTTGGCGACGACCGCCAACCTCAACTATGCATTGATGGTCACGCCTTAAATGTGCCTGGGGTTATTAAGGATCTGGGCGTATCATACTCCAAGAGTCTCAATCTCTCGGAGCACTGTGTCTTGATAGTCTCCAAAGCACGTAGAACGACCGGGTTTATCCTCCGAATCTTCAAAACTAGGCACATTAGAATGCGCCTTTATAACATGTACGTTAGACCTGGCCTGGAATACTGTTCGTTTTTATTTAGCCTTATGAGTGCTACTGAGCGGAAGAAAATAGAATCCGTTCAACACTTTTTTACCAAGAGAATTTTAACCCCGGAACACCGACATTTGTATTATCAAGAACGTTGCCGGCTTACACGTCTTGATCCTTTATGGTTCCGCAGATTATAAAAGGGACTATTTTTGCTATTTAAGCTCTTATATAATCCACTCACCTCTTTAACACATAATGTCAACCCCGACGAAACAGTCACTTTGAAGTCTTTTTATTTGTTCCTCTGGCACGTACTGTTACATATCGTCGGTTCTTTTCTGTAAATGCAATTGTTATTTGAAATAAACTACCCAGGAATGTAAAAAATCTGCAAAATTATCCTTTATTTAAGAGAACTATTACTCGATTTTTGCATTCAGAAAAGCTCCCACAAATTTTGGGTGCTGAAACCTCTGATCGACTCTACTGTAGCGATGGCGCTTGTGGTCTCTGACCACTATGGCCGGTCTCACCAGGAAAAATTTCTTTAGCTAACAGCGACAGATGTTCTTTGGCGCTTCTGTTTGGACTAGCCCCAACTTCATGAAAGAAATTGGCGACTGATATTATCCGATACTGTGCAGCCCCTCCCTTCTTGACGGTCAAAAGTTTGTCGTCAGCAGTTGTTTTTCTCCTGAACCCTCCAAACTATAAAAACCACCATCAACTATATTTTTATTCCTTTTCCACAGGAGTTTTTTCTCTGTTAGTCGGATTTGTGTTTAACGCTTCCCTTGACAATGCCTGTAAACTGGCATTAAATAAAATTATTATTATTATATGCACCTAACAGAATATTTTCTTTAAAAATTCAGGGCCGAAACTCGAGGACACTCACTTGTAGGTGATAAAATGCAATGACAAGCATCCGCATTAACTTTAGGTGTATGCAAGGCGTTGGTTTGGTATAACAGAGCGGTTACGTTCAGACAAGCGGCATTTTTCAAGCAAATATGCATCTGGTATTTGTTGCAATGTCTTTGTGTAAATCCGCGATTATCACGTACTCGTTCCAGGCACCGACGACCAGCTGTGAAAAAGAGTGCCTGCGAAAGTCCAGGCGGTATCGGGTGCCTCTAAGTTTTAGAGAGTTCCCACGCAGGTTTGCTGCTGTGGCCAAGGTGAATAAATCATCGTTGTGTAGGGCACAGTCCCCGTTCCTCAAAATCCAGTACGCCTGTATGAGATCTCGTATCTTCCTATAATCAAAAGATAATAAGTAAATCTCATCAAGTCTGCAATTGTAAGGTAAAGACTTGAGGCCTTTCATAATTTTGTTCGTTCCCCTCTGAACTCTTTCCAGCAAACTAAAGTATTTCTTTAGCCACGGCGCCAGGTTTGGATTCCATATTCCAGATGCGAACGAATAAACACTCCGTATACTTTTCCATATAACTCTGTCTATATATTTGAAAGTCCGTTTAGTGGCAAAGAGAACACCGGTGACCCTTTTGACCGCCCCAACACATTGCGAGGACGGCTGAAATTTCGTCAAATTGTTGCTCTCAAGACATTTTTGTTCGGTCACATTTGAAAGATACCTTCCACCCAGCAGGTAATGATGGTCCTCTCCATCAGCTCTACCATTCCTTTTAAGTCGCAGCGTGAGGCAGCCATTTGTTGGGCCATTCGCATAGGTGGTTCAGTCCTTTTTTGCGGGGTCCGTTCACCATTTTTCCCGTTGATCGCTTGCCAAACCTTGATGCCATCGTCAAACACGACTCCACTGTAGTCCAGTCCGTTCATATGGTCGTTAACATAAATTAAAAACAGTACTGCTTCGAGCTCAGAGCCCTGGGGAACGCCACTCGCAACGGGCACTGGCGTTGACTTCGCACTACCAATGCACACAAACTATGATCGGCCAGTTAGAGCGGCCACCTGGTGCGCATAGACGACGAGCGTCTACCCAAACGACTCTTCTACGGAGACGTCGCGACGGGTTCTAACCGCCAAGGCGGCCAAATGCGCCGCTACAAGGATACCCTGAAGTCCTCCCTGAAGCGCCTGCAAATCAACCCGACCAACCGAGAAGAGCTCGCACACGATCGGCCGACTTGGAGGAGGGCAGTGAAGACAGGCGCTGCGATCTACGAAGCCAACCGCATCGCCGCCGCCAAAGCGAAACGCGAAGCCCGCAAATCACAACTTCGCCCATTCCGCAACGTCGACGCACAACCGCTACCTACGTGTCCTTAGTGTCAACGGACATTCCCGGCTCGAATTGGACTTGTCGGACATCTTCGGATCAACTGCGCCTCTCGGACTGCACCAACCATTTTCCCCTCGCCCGCCTCTTCCTCGTCCTCTCCGCTGCGAACTAACTCCGACAATTCTTCTGAACCACCACTTCCATCCTCCTCCTCTTCCCCCTCCTCCTCCTCCTCCTCCTCCTCCTCGTTCACTGCCCCAACGGCTGCCGCTCAGGCGGCCGTCTCGCACATCACCAACCGCGACACAACAACAGACACCATTCTTACCTCTCCCGACTCCAGCGATGAGGATCAGGATTACACCTGCCCTCACTGCGACCGCACCTTCACCTCACGCATCGGCCTGGCCGGTCACTTGCGAATCCATCTTACAGAGACTGGCAAACCAGTGCCTGGAGCACTAACCTTCACCCACCACGCTCGTCTCAACTGCCCACACTGCCCTCACACTTTCAGGTATCGCATGGGTCTCTTCGGCCTCATGCGCATCCACGACGACCTGCGGTAGACAACCCCCGGTTACACCACATATCCACATACTCCCTACGTCCTCCACCATCACTACCATACATCAACACTCACCCACCGCAGGCACCCAACTGCCACCTCCCACGCAAGTGGAAAGTGTGCATCTCGACTCGGTCCCCATGCGGCTTCGGTTGCAGGGGTGACCTGAGTCCGAGACTATCCCGACAAGTAAAGTGTTGTGGACAAAAAGGTTGCTGATTGACGCCCCCACTCTGTCCACGCAGTTCGTCGCGTTGTGTGTGTGTTGTGTGGAGTGACGGGCTGGTGAGCTGGGCGACGGGCTGAAGTATCACCTTCCACGGCCCTCTCACGCAAGTGAGAGACAAGCCGTTCAACCCCCGTTGTGTGAAATCCTGGTGTGTGTGTGTGGGTGTGTGTGTGTCTGGGGGGCCAGGTCGTGCACGTGGCTCACGCAGGCATGGTCAATCAATCGTGCCAGCCACCGCGCCCATTCCCTACTGCAGTCTGCTGACCGGCTCAGACAGTGGCTGGGGTGTGGGGATGGGAAGGGAGAGTGAGGTCGACGACTCAGCGCACTTTCTCCTCACTATAAACAATCTGACGCGCTTTAAGTTATCACGGTGCGTTAAAAGCCGTGGCTTGGAAGGTTGCCAACTGAAGGGGTAACTTGGACCTCCTCCTTCACTGGAGGTGGTCTGAGAGTCAGGCTGCAATGGCTCCTTCTTAATGTGGCCCCTATGGCACTCCCACTGCGTGGGATCCGAGCCAGGCGTCGGCGGCACGCCCAGGTGCGGTTTCGGCCGTGCCAGCCTCCAAATCCCTGTTGTGTTGGTTGAAATCCTGGTCATTTGTTGTGTGGACCAGGGGGTGTGGTGGAACGCCAAGATGAGGATCCGTCCGAGTCATCCACCTGCGGACTCCCCCGTCTCCGGTCTTCTTGACTCGGTCTTGACACCGGGCTCAGGCGGGGGAGGAGGAGAGTGTGGTAGATGCAGCGCAAGTCTACCGGCACTATAAACCCCTGCGTAAGTCACCGTCCCTGCTCCCACAATGCAGTCTGTGGGGCACACGGTGGACATCATCGAAATCGACGGTCGAACTGTCGTGTGTGCGGGGTGCGGTGGCGGACCCTGCTGTCGGCATTCGTCGCCCAACTGGACCACTGCCGCCACCCCATTGTTTTTGTGGTCAAAATCCTGGTCATTTGTGTGTGGACCAGGGGGTGCGGAGTGGAACGCCAAGGCGAGGATCCGTCCGAGCCATCCACCTGCGGCCTCCCCCGTCTCCGGTCTTCTTGACTTGGTCTTGACACCTGGCTCAGGCGGGGGAGGAGGAGAGAGTGTAGGTAGATGCTACGCAAGTCTACTGGCACTATAAACCCCTGCGTAAGTCACCGTCCCTGCTACCACAATGCAGTCTGTGGGGCACACGGTGGACATCGTCAAAATCGACGGTCGAACTGTCGCGTGTGTGTGTGTATTTGTGTGCGTGATTAATTTTGACTTGATATTCCTGACAGCAGTAACTTCAGTAGCTAATTCCTGTCTCGAAATCGAAGAACCTGAAGCAATTACGCGTGCCGTAAATCGTAGCCGTATGTGTAATTTTTCTTTTTCAATAAGGTTGTCCCCCTAATGTTTGAAAATGGAAGTTGATTTCTTATTAATATAGCAAGTCCCGCTTATTTTTGAGGAAATTAAAAATCTGCAATCTCGAAACTGGAGGTTTGTGGACAATTTGGCAAAATTATTGTTCATGGCAGCCTTCTTCTTCCTTCTCTTCTTCTCCTTCTCCTCTTCTTCCTCTCCTTCTTCTTCTTTTTCTTCCTCTTTTACTTCTCCCGCTTTTTCTTTTTCTTTTTCATTTTTTCTTTTTCTTCTTCGCCCTGGGAGTTGGCGTTCATAGGGTGCCGTTTCTATGGTGGCTTTCGCATCCTGAATAGTAGGCTATTCAGCAGTTGCGGATTGCTACAGATAGCACTGTGACCAAAGAAATTAGAGTTTACCAATAGCGTCCCTACACGAACAACGCTCATACGTCTAGGCTTTTGAGAACTGAAGAACGATCTCATGACTACGTCTCGATATATTCACATTGTATATTCATACATTCAATAAGGCCTGAGAGAATAGTAAGCGAACTCTCCCACATCCAAGACGTCGCCGGAGCAATCAGTGTGCCGACTACTGGACACTTTACGATCAATTATCTTTGTTTTGTTGTTGTTGGGTGTGTGAATTATACCCTCTGCTTGGATAAGTCAGCGTGCACAAGTCATTTGAAAAAAGCGATAGGGAAATCAAGTTGGTTAGCGCGGGCTAGACACATCTCCTCTTCCGCTATTGACTGGTCTTCATAATTGGTGTTTAACGACTCTTCTGGCTAAGCCTAGTGATAACTTGCATTACTTGACACAAAGCTAGGTCAGCGGATTAATCTAGATCTTTGGGCGCCTTTGAGGAGGTCTATTGCAGAAATTGAATTTGCGATCTTCTCTTGGAGACGGCTAGCAGACCATGGTGAGGAAATGAGTCCTGATTGCCTACTCACACGCAACCAGCGGGACCCTTTGTAACGATTCCAAAACCATCAATAGAGGGGCATAAAGGATTCGTTTATCAAAGAAATGCGAGGCACTCGTGTTCTTCGACGACAAAACAACGTGATAGTCGCTTTGCCGCCAGCTTAATTGGTTAATTTCTGCTGTCCGTTCAGCTGGTACTAGATCCCCTCACCTAGCACGTAACAAAGCATGTACTGCTGTAACATTAATCACCTTACGTAATAGTTCTGTGGTAATTCAGTTTCTTCAGGATGCCGGCATTTAAACGAACTTCTTTTCTTTCATCTGCGAAAAATGCACTCTGTAAAAAATGACTGCGTGTTTAGTGTGAATTGTTTTCATTGATTTTTGATGCTCATACAAATTCAGATATATTTACCAGAAAGCATGCATAAAATATTAATTCTTCTACTCATTTGGTAGAAACGTACGTCTTTTTAAGTAGTTTACTTGAAGGAAGAGTATACTTTAGTTTTAAAAATGTTTCTAATCCCCGAATAAATTTGAACCCGACCTGACATTACATTTGCATTCAGGGTTTTGAAACAACAAGCTGTTCATTTTCCGTGTACGGAAAAGCATACATTTCATTTTAAAACCGGATTATACACTTCCTTCATGTATACTATTTAAAGAAGACGTAATTTCCTACGTGGGTAGAGGAATGAATATTTCCATGCATGTTTCATATGAAATATATTTAAATTTATAAGACCATCGAAAATCAGTGGGAAAATTTACGCTACATAAGTGGTCATTTTTCACATATTTTTTTCGCAGGCGGCTTAAACGAAGTTCATTGAAAAGCCGACATCTTAAAGTGACTGATTTATAATGGAATAATGCTGCACGATGATTAATGTTACAACACTACTTAAGTAATCTTTTTGAGTCGAAAACCCATTTCAGAATTTCGGTTAGCATTTCATGAGTCAGCACATCCACTATATTTGTTGTTTGTTTTACTAAAGAAAATAATGCATTTCTTCAAGATCTTAAAAGGACAGTATATAATGCACCTACAATTTTTCAATGGAATTGGAACATGGATCATACTTCAGAAGCAGCATTAATAAATAGAAGTTTACAATGATGTTTGAATGAACGATTTTCGGTCGTAAAATTCGCACAATTATACAAGTTTAAGCAAAAATTTAAAGGAGATGTAAATTATCACAAGATGAGTGCGATAAGCATTATTTTTGTGGCCTTTCCCATAAAAGATATATCTGAATTTATGAGGACATCCAAAATTAATTGGAACAATTCATATTCTTGTCTTTCTTTTTACTGAATGTTGTTTTCACGGGTGGCCAACAAAGGCACATCCAAATGCAGGCCTTCAGGTGTGATTGAAATATGTTGAGATCATGCTATGACTAGCATTATAGCCCCATCTAGGTTATCTTCTGTCCTCGAAAGCACGCTCCAGCACTTCCCGAGATAGGCCAGCCACTGTATGATTAATCAGCGGACAAAATGATTGTCCGGCTCGCGATATGACAGATCTGCTTACTTTTTCTTTTCTACAGGACACGCTTGTTCTTTCCGGAGGATCACCAGCTCTTCTAGCAAATGCTGTGATAAAGAGACTTGTTGTATTCATTGCCCCAGGCTATGGCTAGCACAGGCCACTCTCAAATGGGTCAGACTTATTTACCGGTAAAATTATTGTGCATGAGCAAGCACGGCACAGTCACTAACCGATCTCATGAAATGCTGACCGGAATTCTGGAATTCCTTTTTGATTATGAAGGATTACTAAAGTAGAGTAGTAATAGTGATTATTTTGAAACAACAATTATGTGATTCAGAGGGAAATGACGTAGGTGACTTATATTTCCAATAATCAGGCGGGTTGCGGGGACGATTTCTATATGTGATATTTTTTGAAGTGAATGAAAAATATTGCCGCCTTCCTAAAAAAAAATAAGACGCAAGACGCTATAGTTGGTCCGATCGCATCATTTTTACATTTTATACTCAGAGAGAGGATATTTTATGTTCCACAAAGTTGTTTACTTCCCGAATAATTTTGAGCCAGTTCAGCCAATGCATTAACGTTTAGCAAATTTAGTCTTCAAGGTGCACAGTTTTTGCGTGCGAAAAACATATATCCCTCTGTGCCTTAAGAAAGAAATCATGCAAAGTTCACAGAATTTTGCATTTGATGCGCACTATTTTGTAAAATTCATAAGCAGCATTAAGAAACTTACAAATTCGGTGTTGTATAATGAACATTTAATGATCTTAAAAATCTCATAGAAACTTTTAAACCCGAAAGGTGCTCTTTCTTAGAGCATAAAGTGTAAAAATCGCGCGCTTTACTGAAAATGAACAAAAGAAAGAATTTTTGGGTTTTTTTTCTAAAAAAATATTTGAGTTTTCAAGGCTATCCCAAATCAGTGCGTTAAATGCACCATGTTTAAGGGGGATTTTTTTGCTGAGTGCAGATT